ATGGGCTTCTTTGGAGGGCCATGAGGTGGATTACTCAACACATACAAGATAGACATGTAAAAATGGCAAAACCAACTCTGGAAATTAGTTATGACAGCCCTAAAACTCACCAAAAAGGCCCTGAAATGGGTCAATGAAACATGCAATGAAAGGTCCCCTTGAAAGGCCTTGAGGAGGATTGCTCCACACATGCATGAGGGACACAAAATATGGCCAAAAGGGCTCCGGACAGAGCTAAGGCAGACCTCAAAACTCACATAATAGGGTCTGAAACAAGACTTCAAAGCATGCAAGATGGAGCCCCTTTGGAAGGCCAAAAGGGCCAACAAACATGACAAGGAGAGAGGGGGTCACCCCCCTCTGATTTTGGCTCTCAAAATAGTGTGTGAGCCACTGAAAATCCACTGGATTTCAGTGGGTAGAAGGCCAAACAAAGCATGCAACAAAGGCCTAGATGCATGGCTCAAAACAAGAGGCAAACAAGCATAAAAGGAAGTAAATGACGTCAAACATAAAAGGAAGTAAATGACCTCAAACAGAAAAATGTCCTTAATCAAACATCAAGAGGGGCTTAAAATAAGACTCTTTTCAGTTTATGAAAAATCTCGAAAATGCTCGTAAGTGGGGCTAATATATGAAGCAAAATAAGCCTACAAAGAGGGATAGAGCATACAAGGAGGTATATGACCTCAAACAGAAAAGTGTCCTTAATAAAACTTTAAGAGGAGCTCAAAATAAGACACTTTTCAGTTTATAACAAAACCCAAAAATGCTTGCAAATAGGGCTAAGTTATGAAGCAAAATAATGCAACAAAAAGGGAGAAATGAGGACTTACCCTTGTAGCAAAGCAATGCAGCAAGTTCTGGACCAAGAAGGTAAGTCTTCAACCTCTGAAAAACAGCTCCAAGATGATTGAATGGATGGTGGAGGTGGTAGGCTATGAGGTGTGGTGTAATGGCCAAGAACAATTGGGTATTTGAGCTTGGATGAGAGAGATATAGAGGGTGGAGTGTATATGCCTTAACTGGTTTTTCTAACCCTTGCAAATGGAGGGGGAGTGTTGGTTTTATAGAGGAGAAGAGCCAAGACTTCTTGGAGAAGATTTAAGAGAGGGTCAAAGCTTCTCAAAGAAGCTTAACCAAAAGGGTCAAGCTTCTCTAAGAAGCTAAGCAAAAGGGTCAAAACCAACTTAAAAAGACCAACAAAAGGCTCAAAATCTCGGAGGAAGGGTCAAGTGCTTCACAGCTGGCACGGTTGTGTTGCACTTGAGAAGGCCAAAAAGGAGGTGGTTGGCCGACCAGTTCAAGTGGTCGGCTGACTACATGCCTTGGTCGGCCGACCAGGGTTCAAAAGGGTCAAGCTGAAATTCTGGTCGGCCATACCAGAAAGGTGGCCTCCCAGATGAGAAGAATACAGTTGTATGGTGGGAGACCAGAAAATGTGGTCCAAGAGTGAGAAAAACCAGCTTTCTAGCAAGGTTCAAAAGGGTCAGGAAGAAAAGCTGGTCGGCCTACCCATATTGGTGGCCTCCCAGGTGAGTACAACACAATGGTGGTATGGGAGACCAGAAATTGTGATCCAAAAGTAGGAAAAAACCAGCTTTCTGTCAAGAAAATCGGCTGGAGGAGAGAGAAAATGGTTTTCAAAATAATTTCTGGTCTCCCACTATACTACCACCTTCCTAACAATGAAAATAGGGCCCATGCCAAAAGTGAACCCTAATCGATGCAAAACGAGGGTTCGGGGGCCAAAACGCGCGGCCTGGGGCCCCGAAAACAGGCTGTTAGGCACTGGAGGTGGCGTATGACCACAAAGTTGGTCTCTCGGGCCACAGTGTCCCTCTAGGGAGAGGAAACAAGGTGTGTGCCAAAAATCGGAGCAAACGGAGGTAGTTAAGCGGGCCCAAACCGAGGCGCACGGCCGACGGCTCCGAAAACCAGTAACTGGTCTCCAAACGGGAAAAATAGCCTACGACCACAAAACGTAGCCTACGGCCACTGAGAGATGGTCTACGAGACCTCTCCCTCCCTTCGGAAAAAGAAAATGGAGAAAACAGGACCTGGTTCGCAAATCGAGACAAAGCACAAAAAACCCCGAAGTCTGGAGGCAAGGCTCGCAGCCGAGACTCTGAAACCTCAGAACGAGCACAATATGCACCATCATCTAGCGCTCAATCGATGACGTCTGAGTCTTAAGGTCGGTCAAAAATGGGGTGTCTATAGCAGTGGGTTGTGATTTTGTGGCGAAATAACTTGATTATGGCAGTGGAGATAGGTGTTAGGGTGCTCGCTGTGCTGGGTGTGGTGGTGGAGATGGAACAAACAAGAAGAGGAAGGGATTGGTAGAGAGACAGTGATTATGGTTGTCGATAGACAATGGTTGTGATAATGAAGGGAGATGAAGAGGGGTTGTGTTGGAGAGGTGGTTGCAACTATGAGAGCGAGAAAAGAGAAAAGGAAACACAGAGACGAAGGAAGAAGAAGACGATGATGTTTGGATGTGTGGGTAGGATGTTTAAGTTAGGTTAACTGACAGGGGTAAATGTGTAGAATCACAACCATTGTCAATAATTGCTTCTTGACAACTCTGACAATGAGGCCATGTAATTTCAAAAACTACAAGAGAGGTCATGTAATTGTTAGAAACCTTAAGAGAGGTCTGTGTAATTAGCCCAAAAAAGAAATTGACATTGGCTTCAAAACCAAAATTTTCATGTAGCAAACATTTTCTAGAATTTCTGTTAGACTCGAACCCATAACTTATAATAGAACTAGAATCAATATTTTGTTTCTTACATTTATGCCCAGTAGACAAGGAGTTGGTAAGTCCATTAGCCCTGAATACATAATGAATGGTATAACAGTGGCTGACTCTATCCACCCAAGCCGCACTCGAATGTATGTCCAGTGGACAAGGAGTTGGATTGTTTATTGGCCTTACATGACTGTTTGGAGATTAAGATGGATTTATCCTACAAACCTATCAGTTCTCATTGCTACCTTTTTCCTATACCTACTTTCTTTGACAAAAACCAACAGAAAGTAAAACTCTCAAACAAGTGCCTGCTCTTAGGTCTCTCTCTTTTTTTTTACTAGTTTCAATTTATTATCAGCATATCTCATTCCTTAATGTATTTTCTCACCTTTAGGCACAAGTAAGTGGATCCCATGTGCATTTATTAACGTGGGTCTCATTGCATTCTGTCTAAGAGTGAGAAAATATGATAAGAAATGGGATTGTGTACAGCATTACTCTTAAAAAACACCTGAGCAATTGTAAAAGTGAATACAAGCTCCTACTTGGGTGATGTTTCTTACCAAGACACGCGATTCTGCGCTCCTAAGTAAAAAACCTATAAGAAGCTCACTCCCATCGAGGAAAAAAATCTCTGCTATCTAAAGATAGAACCTCTCAAGCATACAAATCTTTAAAAAAAAAAAGAAAAAAAGAAAAACGCTAAATCTTATTCTAGCACTTCCTATTTACATAATATTTATTTATACTTAATAAAGACAATTTATAGTAGACATCAATCAATAATTCATATTTTAACAAATATATTACAACTAAACAAAAAACATAATTATTAGAATATATTTATATGTTTAATATATACACACTCCCATAGGCGTTCCCAATCTCAGAAACTTTTATATGCCCTTGCTCCCACTCCTGTCCCCACCACCCATTCTTGCAACTATAAGATGCACACACATGCACAAATGCACACCAAGAGGGAAGTGAGTTGTTTGAAGTGATACGTAGATATGAAAAATTAAATGGCTAATAAAGACCTACAAGGAACAAAATGGATTTCCAAAGTGAAGACTAACAAAAAAATCTAAAATAAGAACAAAAAAATTGATATATTGATGCAAATGCCTACAAAATCAGTTTTTCCCTTTCCTATTTGAAGTACAATCTTTGAATTCACTATGCAAAAACACATATATAGCACCACTGTGTTAAATCATCACCAGAGACAGATACGCAAGACCCCTAAGGTATTATTTGTCCTTGACCTCGGACTACATGTAATTTGGATGTCAAATTTGCATTGTTTTTTAAAATAATACATTGGTAATAAGGATATATTTTCTATACTTGCATGATTGTACATGTCATTTTAAACATGAAAGTGTTCTCTAACTCTCTTAATAAGATGTTCTCACTGCTACCTAATAAGATGTTTTTAGCATTATATTACCGAACAGACTCAACACAAATTAAACAAACATTGTTTTGGAGAAAATGACTCTGTAAATGTGTAACAATAAAATACTGGAGGGATCTATTGTTTCTGGCAACTGAACACCGGAAAAGTATGGGTGTAAAGAGATGGGTTTTAAGATTTTTTTACCTTAGGGTTTGTTTTGGTAATATATTGGGTGTAATGAGAATCTAATATTTTTTTTAGTGGTGTGATGAGATGGAGGGTGTAAAGAGGTAAAAGAGTGGTGTAAGTAAAATCATCCTTTGACTTTTACTTCAAACCCAAAAAAATGACTAAAAGTAAGTTCCCAAAACACTTCTAAATTGTAACCCATTCAGACGGTATAGAAATAATTTATATAAAAATGCTTGAGATCACTAATTAGTGGTATCACTAATACCCACTGCCACAGTGTTTTTGTACTTTGTTTGTTTTGTTTTGTTTTTTTTTATATATAAGTGGATGCCAACTCATTAGTGGTACTTTATATTAGAGCACCACTTTTAATGGGATATAGCATTGTTGTAATTTACATTTGAACAATGATTCATCCCACTAATTTGAGAGCACTAATAGACCATTAATGAAGTAGAAATTCAAAAAAAATAAAAAAATAAAAAAATATAAGAGCAAAATATCCCATCATATAAGACCCACACAACTTTAAAGTTATTAGTATTTTTTTTTTTTAATGATCTCACTAATTTTTTTTTAATGGTCTCACTAATTTTTCTTTACATTTATGCTATGTACCCTCCCACGGAATATGATTTATTGTTTCCCATAAAAGCTAAAGTCTAACCCTAATTCATTCACGCCACTCTGTCTCTAACACTCTCATCTCTCTCGGTGCTCGCTCTCTCTTCTCTTTCTCATCTCAGACTGAGTTATCTCTCTCGGTACTGCCTCTCACAGTCTCATCCGTCTCAGATCAGATCGGTGTGCTTCTTCTCTCTCTCTCTCTCTCTCTCTCTCTCGGTGACACTGTTTTTCTGTTTCTGAAATGGCTGTGGGTGTGTAAGAGTTTTTATTTATTTATTTTTTTTCTGTTTTTATCTTAAATGGGTGTGTGTATATATATATATATATTTTTTTTTCTGTTTTTATTTTTTTCTGAAACAGTGTATCTTAAATGGGTGTGTGTATATTATATGATTTCTGTTTTTATTTTTTTCTTTGGTTTCTGTGGTGTGGATAATTTTTTTTTCTTTGATTTCTGGTATGATTTCCGTGGTATGGAGAGAAACAGTGTATATTTTTTTGTTTGATTTCTGGTATGATTTCTGTTCTCTAATAATATTAATCCTATTTTGTTTTGATGTGTTGTTTTTTCTTGTTTGATAGATGTCAAGTACTGGAGAGACAAATGGTGTCATCGACCTCTCTCAGTCTGAGCCAGAGTATGACCCTCAGCCTGAAACTCCTTCTGGTTCAAAGGTATATGGCGCCTATATGAGGTATGCCCCCTTCCCCCCCCCCTTTATCTCTGTTTGTTTGCTTAGAATTTTTGGAAAGGGAAATGTCTACTACTGCTGAATTTGTTTGTTGTTGTTGTCTACTACTGTCGCTGTTTGTTTGCTTGGAATTTTGTTACATAAGATGACATTTTGGAGAATTGGTGATACTGTTTTAATGGGTTTTTGTTATTTTATATGTTGTGTTTTTGTTGATCAGTTCACACATGATGCTGTTTGCTTTTGTTTCCTTTAAATGTTCTATATATTTTTTTGTTATTTAATTATGTGGACCATTTTGTTATTTAATTATGTGAACTCGTGGTCCTAAATCGATCCAAGCTATGTTTAAACGGATTGGTTCCATGATTTAAACGGATTGGATTGGTTCTAATTTCTCAAGAATTGTAGATAACGGATTGGTCCTAGTTTTACCCAATCCGGACCAAACAGAAGCCAAAGTGGCATAGATTGGTCTTTTTCCCAGCAGAATTATTGAGGGATTATGTTCCTAGGAGATAACCGAGACAAAAGTAGCATTAGCAGAGTTAGCATATCTATACTTATATTCATGTATGGTCATCTTATAACGTATAGTATCTCTATTTAGTATAGCCATTAAAGCGTTTACTTTCTAACAATGGTGAAATATCTTGTTATCTGTTGTTGTATTAGGCAAGTTTCATTGCCAAGGAATGAACCACCTCCCTTTGGGCCAATTTTGATGACCCGAATCATTCAATTTTTAGGATACATTTAGGGCTGGTTTGGCAAGTTTTAAAAAAGTCAAAAAATCACATCAACTTATTTAAGTCACATCACCTCTCTAACACATCACTTCAAATCCAACCCAACTCAAATCCAACCCATATTTCATAAAAAGTAAAAAGTGCACTTATTTAGATTATCCCAAACAACCCCTTAGTATAATATGCCTGTAAAAGAAATCAAGTTGATTGGACATCGATAGTCCTTTCATCAAATTACATTCGTATCTAAAAAAATAAATGGTAAATGTGAATTAAAGTGTAAAATTGAATACAAATGTCATTCCATAAAAGGGTTAATGATGTCTGATCAACTTGATTTTTTATAGATATATTCCACATGATGTACTCTAAAAATTGAACGGTTCGGATCATCAAAATAGGTCCCAAATTGGGCCCAAACGGTTGCATAACAGTGGTTGCTATGCCTTTCGAAAAATATCTCCATTATGTATAAATACTACAGTTTTAGGAGCCCAAATGCGTAAATAATTATTTTAATCTCCAAAATATTGACAAAATAATTAAACTCAATATTTTAACATAAAAGAAATTATCTACCGGGCGTATCTCTCAAATCTCAAATTGAAATGGAAGACCATTCTTGCAAACCGATAAACTAATTCGTGTAGAAAAATTAAACAATTAGCATTATAATTATGCATAAATAAAATTATCTAGGCCTTGATTATATTAAATTAAAATTTGAATTGGCTTGATCCTTACAATTGAAAACCTCAATCAACTGTTCCGATTGCTACAACTCAGCCCATTCATCTCAGCAAAAATCTAAATGGTATCTCATTGCTTTGAATATATATATATATATATATATATATAATTAGAAGTATTTGACACACTATTTATGTGAAACAGCTGCTTGAGGCAGTTACCGATACCCGGTTTCATCTACATTAATTATCCTGTTATCTTTAAAATATGGAATAGAGAATAGATAGATAATGTTCCTAGCTTTATTTGGGCCCAAAAATACCATCACAAAGTAGAAGCCCAGAAGCCCCACTGTCATGTATCATTCACAAAAAATAATGGGCCACCAACGGAAAAGCATAAGCACCCAAAAACTTGTCCCTTTGACCCCTACTGGGCCTAGCAAGCAACTGCCCAGTCCATTGACCAAAAATAAAATAAATAAAAATAAAAAATAAAAATTCCCTACATGATCAAGTTGAACACAATTGTGAAAGGCGCGCACACTTCTCTGTCCCTCGCCTACACATGCGATGAAATTGAAAACAGAGCATAGAAAAAGGTTTGTAATCTCAATGGATGGGTCATCCACGTATTAGTTGGACAAGAAATTGAGAAAATAATTACATGTCTGCTAGTACTATAGTAGTAAATACTTTTAAGATTACAATATGTGGATGACCCATGTTTCTAATAATTTTCTCACTTCCTTGTCCAACCAATACACCCATCCATTGAGATTACAAACCTTTTTCTACCGCACTTAGAAACCTTGTTCCAGCCCCTGCAGGCTGTTTAGCCGCACAAAACTAAACTTCTTAATAAGTGTTCCCTCTCTTATTTTGTTTGTTCTTTTTTTAGAATTGTCTTTTTTCGAATCAAGAAAAAACTGTTCTTTTGATTGTGCAAAATATATATATATTCACAAAAATGCCCTTTTTTCTTGATCTGAATAAAGGCACAATTTCCAAAAAAGGACAAACAAAATGCAACAGAGAGTGTATTTATTATTATTTTTAATTTAATAATAATATAATTATTTTTCTAATTAGGTTAGATTTTAAGATTTCTTTTTATTATAAATACACATAGACTTATTATTTAGGTTATTCATTTAAACATAATTTTCTTCTGTCTTCTATAGTTGATGTCAAGCACACAATTTCAATGGTCAAGCCAAAAGGCTTGGCAAAGCTAAAAAATGAATAGACCTCACAAAAATCCTTCCAATGCCAATATTATTGCCAAAAAATTGGTTTTAAACTACAAGTTTGGCAAAGTCATTTTATGCAACATCAGAACTCAAATCTAAAAATTCTAAAATTAGAAAATTCTACAAATTGAAAAAACTCAAAAATATTAAAAATTATAATTATTAAAGTTTAATAACACCAAATCACAATTTATTCAAACAATAAGAAATCACAAAATCAAAAACTTGATATTCATCTAGATCAACGAGATAATAGGATAATTGATAGGATAATGGTGATGTGAACCTAATTGTGCCAAAATGATAAATCACCATTATTTATAGAAGGTGGGATAACTAATGCTTCGTTGCCTTCACGATGTGGGATAATGTTATATAGTAATAGAGTGGGTTAATTTCACTTTTATTCCCCAAACTATCACCATTTATTCCATTTCATCCCTAAACTATTAATTTTGTCTATTTAGTCCAAAAGTTTTTAATTTTTGTTCATGTAGTCCAATTGGAGATGATTCTACAAATCATTAATCGTTGAAGTTTAATTTAATTGAAAAAAAATAAATGCTGGGAAAATTACAAAAAAAACCCCCAAGGTTTGACTCTAGTAACAGAGCAAACCCCGAGGTTTTATTTTTTTCAATTTCAACCTTGAGTTTTTTATTTGATCCCAATTTCATACATCAGTCCATCTTCGTTAAGTAAAATAAATAGAAAATGGTCTTTTAGTCATTTACTTTCATTGTTTCTTTCCATTTCCACATCCACTCTTTCATCTCTCTCACCCACTCTCAACATTCAACAATGCTTTTCTTCCCTTAGATGCAACCACCATTGCCTTGATCCACCACTCTCACTCTTCCTTCTATTGTTCTTTGACAACAACCCAATTTATTCTTTCTCCTTCCCCAACACTACATTCATCATCTACCGTTCTCGATCGAGATCTAAACAAAATCAAGCAGCAAAATTGCAGGCATTTATGGGGATTGACATATGAAAATCTTTAAAATTTGTAGTCTAAATTCTGCATTTGTCTCACATCTTTAATATGGGTATGAATTTGGCGAGGGAGGCACTGGTTGTATATGAAAAGGGAAAGAAGGAATGGGGATCAATAGGCATGGGGAATGTAGATCAAGAAGTATAATAATAGTGATCAATGAGAATGAGTGATGGGAACGAACGGAGAAGGGGAGACGGTGGTGGTAGTCATTGGTGGAGAAGAAAAAGCAAGTGGCGGTTGTTGTGGAAAAGGAAGAAGTGGTAATTGTTGGTGGAAAAAGGGAAGTGTGTGGCGTTCGTAGGTGGAAAGTAAGAGGAGGTGGTGTCGCCATTGGGAAAAAAAAGAAGTGGTAGTCGCCAGTGGAAGGGAATGAAGGATGTGGTTGTCGTTGATGGAAAGGGAGGGAAGTGGTGGTGATTAAAGATGAATGAGAGGAAGATATAGCAAAAACAATGGCAATTGAGGTAGGGGCACTGGCAGTGGGAGGAGTGGAAGGAGGTAGTGAATTGGGGGATAGTGATAGATGGTTGCGGGCAAAGGCAAAGGCAAAGGGAGACTGGCGATGGCTATGGCGGAATGTGAAGTTGAACAGGAAGGGTTGGATCACGATAGGGTATGGGCAAGGAGAAGGAGTGGAAGAGGATAATCAAGTATAGTGGGATGTATAATAAGGTTGTGATGGAAGGTTATGATGATTGGTAAAGATGGTTATGATGATTGGTAAAGATGGTTGTGATTATGTGTCGTTTAGGTGAAATTGTAATTGACTTAAAGTTGGAAGAGTGAATAATATAATGCTACGTGTTTCAAAATAATTTTTTTTGTTAATGGTTTTAAATAGATATGGACGGATGGTTCAAATTGAATTTATTGCAAAAACTTACGGTTGGAATTGAAGAATTAAAAATCTCAGGGTTTGATATTTCCCTAAGGGCAAACCTTGGGTTTTATTTATTTATAATTTCTTCAAATTTTATATCAAATTTTAAACAACTTAAATCATTTAACAAAATACTTATTTTTCTTATTATTTTGAACAAACGACACCTCAACCAATTTAATGAGTGTTTGGTTGTATAATTTAAGTTGTTTCAAATAAAAACAATACCTCGTTGCCCATTAATTAGGGTTCAACGATTAATAAGTTGTAGAATCGTCTCCAATGAAATCGCATGAACATAAATAAAAAAAAGTAGACTAAATTAATAATTTGGGTATGAAATAGGGAAATTGGTGATAATTTATATCTCTCACACACGCACTCGAACGAAGCTTCTGTCATGCAGATCTCGATGTCTCTCTAATGTTGTTCACCCCCTCAGACTCATCCAACCACTGGCGTCCGCTACATCAACCGGTCACTCCAGTGTTGCCTCCCCACATGCCCACACTTTTGCAAGTCTGCAACCCTTGCTTTCAAGCACCCTTTGGACCTCATTTACAGAAAACCCCCCACTTTTGTGTTTTTTTTCCAATTAAAAATAAAGATTTGCTTTTTCTTTTCTTCTCCATATAGACTCTGTTTTTTGTTTCAATTTTTTCTTGTATTGATGTATACGATGTTCATTTATTTTTTAACTAATATGTTTTTTTGATAATTTTTATATTTCTATTTTTGTTGTTTGTATTTTGTTTACAATTATGATTATTGAAAGTTGCTTGCATTCTGAGGATGTATATGAAGCTTTTGTTTTTTAATTTTCTTTTCCTTGGTCGGCGTTGAGGATTTTAATAATGTCAAAAAGAAAAAAAAAGTCCAGATTTTGGATTCCAGATTTAATCACACTCAACCTGCCTAATCCGCCAAATTCAAATCGCTTAAAGAATTCAACTCACTGGTCAGTCTGATTTGGATGTGGGTGATGAAAATTTCAAACTACCAAGGCCGGTTAAGTCGAAAAAAATTACTGTTGAACGCTGCATTGAATAAAAATTTATGGAGACGGCACTGGTTGCCCCCCCTCAGTGTAAAATCCTGTCTCCGTTCGTGGTCCTACCATCGGATCTTTTGGACTGGACTAGACTCATAGGTCTTTAGTAAAAAAATTTATGTGTTTGCCTTTCGTTTTGATAATGAGAATTTTTTTAGACTTTATAGATGTATATTTTATATTTTACGTTTGTGGAATAATCATTTGGTACTGGTAATGATAGTGAAAAATTTATAAAAGTGATAAATGATTGGGACATTTTGGTCTTGGTTTTTGTTTGTCAGTTTTGATTTATTTTTAATCGTTGAAAGTTTGAGCAGGCTTTATTGGTAAATAAGTCCGGTTCATAGGATTGGTCCGTAACTGCCCCATAGTATAAGCATGACCCTACTTTGCAGATTTCTATACGGGATAAGTGTTAACTGCTGCCTTATTATAGGAGAAAATGCAAGTTATTATGTCCTAATTTTTGGACAATATATTGAAGTCTTGATATTGAAAATGATCCAACCAAATTACCGTTGAGAGTTAGAAATTTTATATGAGAAATACTATCTTCGACTTTATTCTATTTCCATTAAAATAATAACAAATAGTTTATCTCTGTCTGTAAATGGTCAGACAATTTGAACAAGTTAATGAGACCAATTTACAATACATTCCCTATCTGTCTCATGGAAGAGCATTACTAGGTCAAACTACAACCCCAACAGTGTGTATTGTCAATGCTTCATGAGAAAAACACATATGATTTACACTACAATGCCAATTAGTTTCGCAAATCAAGCAGTTTTTGTTAGAGCTTGCACTGCATATTGGTTGAAAGTTGAAACCGTCAACAACGACGTAGATAAGTGTTAAAATGTTTATATTGATGTTGCAAAGAGATCCAAAGGGAGGTGGTTAATGATCTTTCATTCCTTGGCAATGAAACTTGCCTAATACAACAATAGATAACAGTATATTTCACCATTGTTGGAAAGTAAACGCTTTAATGACTATACTGTATAGAGATGCTATACGTTATAAGATGACCATGCATGAATATAAGTGTAGATATGCTAACACTGCTAATGCTACTTTTGTCTCAGCTTTCGCCTAGGACTGTAATCCCTTAATAATTCTTCTGGGAAAAAGACCAATCTATGCCACTTTGGCTTTTGTATGGTGGTTAGAAATTGTGAAAATACTTGTGCCCATTAAAGTAATTTATTATTTGCTAATATACATGTTCTTTGGTTGAAATATGTTAGGGCAATGACCTCAAACCCATTGATCGTCTTACTGAAATGCCAGATGACATTCTCTCTTGCATTCTCTCGTTTTTGAGTATTAGAGATTCTGTCAAGGCAAGGATACTGTCTAGAAGATGGAGATATATCTGTCCATTCATGTTGAATCTTGATTTTGATCTTCATACCGTGCTCGGAATCAACTACAAAGCAAGGTACTCAAATGGAGATTCAGATATCTCATGGGAGGATAAGAGTAAGTTTGTAAGTGGAGTTGATCAATTTTTGGAGCTATACAATGGTCAAAAGCTAGACTCTCTCAGGATCTGTTTTTGTCTTGGTAACGAGTACACTGGTTATGTTGATAGGTGGATTAGATTTGCAATTATAATGAAAACTGAAAAGCTTGATCTTGACTTTTCCGCTAGTCCTGAAAGTCAAAGTAATAACTTATATGATTTTCCCTGTCAGCTTCTTCCTCAAGGTGATTCATCTCAATTAAAGTATTTGTGCCTAAAATCATGCAACCTAGGGCCAACCCCTAATCTCGTAAGCAGGCTCAACTCCCTAAAATCCCTTGATTTAGAACACGTGCCTCTAAATCAAAGTTGTGCTAACAGTATCCTTTCTAGTTGTTTAAACCTTGAATGGTTGAGGCTAAAGAACAGTATTCTACCTGAAACTTTATGCATTCATGGTCCATCCCTCCATTTGAAGATTTTGATTGTGCATGAATGCTATGGAGTAGAGAAGTTTGAGATTTCTTCTATTGGTCTTACCACATTTGAATATATTGGTAAAGTGAAAAACTTTTCTTTTCTTGACGTTCCTCGGCTGGAAAAAGTGCATATCAGGTTCATGGTTGCATATGAGAGGGGCACACAATATATGTTCAATGGAATTGCAAATGATCTTCCTCGGCTTCAAACCCTATCACTAGTTTTGACAACAGATGAGGTGAGGAAAAAAAGAGAGAATTATTACTCTTTATTGTGTACTTTTTCATTTTGTGTATGAAGATGGGATATTTTTCTATGTAAAACTTTTTTCTGCTTTTCTCTTCAGGTCCTCCCAATACCTGCAAGGATAACTAGATTCAACTCTCTCAAACAATTGGAGTTGTTTGTTATGGTATCATCAGACTTTAACCTTCTCTCTCTTACTTCGCTCTTAAATGCTTCTCCTCTTCTGCAGAAGCTCCATTTGTCGGTGAGTCACCAGAATCATTCTTATGAGGATGAAATTTGATATTGTTATGGTGTAGTGAATTGAATGCAAAAATTCCTACAATTGCAATGCTAGTTTCACATTTTTTTTAGCAATTTCCTATAAATCATGTTACCTTTTATATACTGTTCATTTCCTTATTGGTTCATTTATCCTAGTAAAATGCAACATATTTACTTGTTTTTTTACTGTAACTTGTGCTCCGTTTGTTTTAAACAAAAAACATTTTTCAATGGAAAAATTTTCTACGAAAACATTTTTAGAAAAAATGTCTCCCTATGTTTGGTTGGGTTCTTGAAACTAATGTACTAATGATTGCATTAGTGGTTGTGGGGTGGTGATAGTGGAGGCGGAGGTGGAGTGGTGGTGGTGGGGTGGAGGTAGTGGTGGTGTTGGTGTTGAGGGGAGGGTGGTGGTGGTAGTGTGGTTGCATTGGTAATACTTAAGTCCGGAAAACGTTTTCCTCCTTTTAAAAGTGGAAATCATCTTCCTCTCATATAGGCTTGTTTTCTGTTGATCACGGAAAAAGTGTTTGTTGACTTTTGTTTTTCATTGTACCAAACACTAGAAAACGCAGAAAACAATTTTCCGACCAAACAAATGGAGCATTAGTTTTATTGATTAGGGTGGTGGTTGGTTGGTTTATCTACATACTGTTCTTGTTGACATAGTTATTTTGGTTTTGTTGATCATTATGCTGCCATTAGTTGAATTTGGTAATTTGTTGAGGGTTCCATAATTTCTTTGTTTATTATTTCTCTTAGGCAAAACACAGATTTAAAAGCATTGGCATGCTTCTGTTCAACATAATTGAGAGCATCTCCATCAATCTAGCTATTTTTATTTTTTAGCTAAAATAAAATAGTGAGTAAATCCCCAAAATTTAAAATTAACAATCAAATTAGCTATTTTAGTTTTGGTGATTTTGGTTAGTCAAACATTAAAAAAATATTATTTGTGATATTTTGGAGTTAGTTGTGTTGAGTTTATCAAAAATATTTTTACATTAAAATTGTTGGAGTTTTTTATATTGTTTCATTATTGAAATCCTAGCCTCGTCTTTCCATCTCTTTGTTCTCTCATTCTTTGTTTTTTGGATCAACAACAAAAGGAAAATTTTATAGATTAATAAGTACATAATGAGGACAAGGAGTCCTCTCAAAATGAATATACACAATAAGAAGCTTAACCAAAGATAAACAGACTATACATCACAAATAGGTGTGCAATCCCTTGATATCAATAAACGTGGAATCCCTTTAAACACTAGTGAAATGGAGGGCCCATAATGAAGCCGAGTAACACACTCTATCCCACAATGACTCCGTGTCTTCAAACTTGTCCTCAAAGATCCTTGTGTTCCTTTCCAACCAAATGACCCAAAAGATTGACAATGCCATAAAATCACGATACTTTTGCTCTTTTTTTACTTTGAAATCCACAAAAATCAGTTAAAATCAATTGAACACAAGTGCATGGCTCAACCCAAAGTATCAACCAAACAAAAGAGTTGGTGCCAAAGATCAAAGGCCATGTGACAGTGCAAGAACAAATGCTCAAAGAATTCCCCACTTTGCCTACACATGATACACCATTGAGGACAAAGATAGCGATTAAGCCTCTTTTTTTGAAAGGTATCATTAGTCATGATTCTACCATGAGCCAAAGACTACATAAAAATCCTCACTTTAAGAGGCACTGCTGCTTTCTAGATTCTTTTGTGAGGAGGAACCTTAGGTTTATCACTGATTTTGTCAAAGAAAGATTTGCTTAAAAAGTCACCAGAGTGAATTGACCAAACCCTTATCAGACACATTTGGAGACAATGAGACTTCATGAGGTAAGGACAATAATGATGCCAACTCAACAATTTCTCGATCATTAAGATTTCTTATGAAATTGAAATTCCACGAAATCGATGCCAAACTAGAGCAAACTAAAGAAGCGATGGAAGCATTATGAGGACGAGCCACACGAAATAAATGTGGAAATGTCCCATCAAAAGAGGAATTACCCACCCAAACATCCTCCCTGAATCTGAAACTCTCTCCATTACCCACTTTTAGAGAAAAAAAATCTGGATACAAGTGGAAGCAACTGGGAGATAGATTTCTGATGGATCGTTTTGCACACCAAAAATAAATAATAAAATATTGAACCGAGCTTAAACCCCAATACAAATAGAATAACGGTTCGATTTCGAATGTTGATCCTCAGGGACAAAAGGCTGAGTTGTTTTAAATCTTGGAAATCTCTTTTTAAATTAATTCGAGAGAATGAGGTTTTATGAAGTGATAGATGAAAACTAATTAAAAATAAAAGTTAAATGGGTGATTCAATATAAGAAGACTCGGGGGTTTGAATCCACCTCTAGCTTCACAACGATAATCATTTTATCAATTTCGGGAATTGATTGCTTAATACAACAGTGACCTGTCGTGGCTGCCAGCCGTAACGGTATGAATTTAAGAATCAGGTATAACTCATCTTAGATTGGCAAGAAACGTCTACACTAAACTAGGGTGTAGCACGTCTCGTCTTCTCTAGGCATGAATTATCTCAACTCTTAAATACATGCACAAAGATTACTATTGTATTAACTATGTATTTAAAATCACAGAAATTAAATATATCAAACAAGATTGGAAGAATAAATTCAATTGAGTAGAAAATTGTCTCAAAATTATACAATCATTGTATTAATAATCAATCCCAAAAAAAGCAAACACACAAAATAAGGTTACTTGGCTAGGGTTTCATCTACACCCTATGGAAGAAGATTAGTTGCCCATGGAGAAGGTGAAGAACGCCATGGATGTGGAGAACTCCATCCTTGGAACCTTGGGTTGCCTCCCTCTTGCCTATTGTGCCGTCTTTCAATATGTGAAGAACTCCATTTTTTTAACCCTAAGTCATCCTTCTATAGTTCCCTCTTAATTAGGGTTGGATTGGGCTCAAAACAAGCATGAGAATTATATTTTTTGGACTTCCTACGCGTCGTGCGACAGGCTCACCGCAACCTACACTCAGGCTCACTTGGACAGTAGCTTCACTCATGTGCGCCCGAGCTCACCACGACTTGCGCTCGGGCTCACTCGGATAGTACTCAGCTTCTTGTGTGCCTGGGCTCAAGGCACATTACAACTTGAGCGTGGGCTCACCTCAACATTGAGCTCTTTCCATCTTGCTTTGCTTGGCCTCACCTTGTGGTCCTTTAATATTACCATTTCTTCTCATTTCATCAAAAGAGCCCAATTAACCTACACAACACACAAATCCATTAGAATAAGGAAAAAATAACAATTATGGTCATAACAAGCGTAGTTTAGGGGGTCTAAATTACCCCTACTAACTATAGGAGTGTCTTTACCGTATTTTGGTGATACACTATTTGCTGTTATTCTTTTTTAGTGGGAATAGGGGGTCCATGCTAATGCTTCTCAGATAACATACCTAGTCTTTGCCATAATTTTAGTTGGGTCATCTGGGAACTCTTTCATTATCAAGACTGATATATTGTCATAAAAACCACAAAAATAACTCGCATGTTTAATAGGTAGCAGCAAGAACATCTTATTAAGAGAGTTTGAGAACACTTTCATGTTTAAAATGACCTGTACAATCATGCAAGTATAGAAAATATCCTTATTACCAATGTATTATTTTTTAAAAAAATGGAAATTTGACCTCCAAATTAAATGCAGTCCGAGTTCAAGGACAAATAATACCTTAGGGGTCTTGCGTATCTGTCTCTGGTGGTGATTTAACACAGTGGTACTATATGTGTTTTGCATAGTGAATTCAAAGATTATACTTCAAATAGGAAAGGGGAAAATTGATTTTGTAGGCATTTTCATCAATATATCAAATTTTTCGTTCTTATTTTAGATTTTTTTTGTTCTTATTTTAGATTTTTTTGCTAGCCCTCACTCTGGAAATCCATTTTGTTCCTTTTAGGTTTTTATTAGCCATTCAATTTTTCATATCTATGTATCTGTTCAAACAATTCACTTCCCTCCCTTGTGTGCATTTGTGCATATGTGTGCATCTTAGTTGTAAGAAGCAGGGGTGGGGACAGGAGTGGGAGCATGGGTATATAGAAGTTTCCAAGGTTGGGAGCGCCTATGGGAGCGTGTATATATTAAATATATAAATATATTCTTGTACTTATGTTTATTGTTATATTTGTTAAAATATGAAATATTATTGAAGATTGATGTCTACTATAAATTGTCTTTGTTAAGTATAAATAAATATTATGTAAATAGGAAGTATTAGAATAAGTTTTATTATTATTATTTTATTTTATTTTTTAAGATTTGTATGCTTGAGAGGTTCTATCTTAGATGGGAGCAATTTTTTTCCTTGATGGGTGAGAGTTCTTATAGGTTTCTTAATTGGGAGCGCAGAATCGTGTGTCTTAGTAAGAAACGTCACCCAAGTAGGAGTTTCCTGCAATTAAGGTGTGCATTCACTTTTACAATTGCTATGGTGTTTTTTAAGAGTAATGCTGTACATAATTCCATTTCTTATCCTATTGTCTCACTCTTAGACACAATGCAATGGCACCCACGTTAATAAATGTACATGGGATCTACTCACCTGTGCCTAAAGGTGAGAAAATACATTAAGAAATGAGATATGCTGATAATAAATTGAAACTAGTCAAAAAAAAAAAAAGCTGAGAGCAGGCACTTGTTTGAGAGTTTTACTTTCTATTGGTTTTTGTCAAAGAAAGTAGGTTTGGGAAAAGGGTAGGAATGAGAACTGATAGGTTTGTAGGATAAATCTATCTAAAGCACCAAACAGTCATGTAAGGCCAATAAACAATCCAACTCCTTGTCCACTAGGCATACATTCGAGTGCGGCTTGGGTGGATGGAGTCGGCCACTATTATACCATCCGTTATGTATCTAGGTCCAATGGACTCACCAACTCCTTGTTTATTGGGCATAAATGTAAGAAACAAAATATTGATTGTAGTTCTACCATAAGCTATGGGTTAGAATCTAACAGAAATTCTAGAGAATGTTTGTTACATGAAAATTTTGTTTTTGAAGCCAACTTTAATTTCTTTTTTGGGTTAATTACACAAACCTCCCTTAAGGTTTCTAACAATTACATGGACCTCTCTTGTAGTTTTTGAAATTACACTGCCTCCCTTGTCAGAGTTGTCAAGAAACAATTATTGACAATGGTTGTGATTTTATACATTTACCCTTGTTAGTTAACCTATTTTTTAATCCTTATAACCAACACTTCTAACTTAAACATCCTACCCACACATCCAAACATCATCCACACATCCAAACATCATCATCTTCTTCTTCCTTCGTCTCTGTGTTTCCTTTTCTCTTTTCTTGCTCTCACAGTTGCAGTCACCCCTCCAACGCAACCCCTCTTCATCTCCGTCCATCGTCACAACCATTGTCTATCGACAACCATAGTCACTGTCTCTCTACCAATCCCTTCCTCTTCTTGTCTATCCCCTCCCCTCCACACCCAGCACAGCGGGCACCCTAACACCTCTTTACACTGCCATAATCAAGTTATTTTGCCACAAAATCACAACCCACTGCTATCAAGAACCCACCACTACCATTTCCTATAGTTGGCGAAAATTGGATGTGGTGCACCACCACCGCAAGCCCAAAACTAGCCCCACCATCACGGTTGATGTGTGAATTGGATTTTATACACCGCGAGCTCTAGCCTCTCACCGTTGTGACCACCACCCATGTACGTATACAAACCCTCTTTTCCCTCGCTCTATATCTCTCCTTATGGATTATTGGTCTATTTATTAAAACCATGATAGGCCTTTTATTATTGAGGCATGAGTGATCGGTGGAGAGGTTTGGTGAATGGGTGGTTTATTTGTTTTTACAGTGGCATCTGTGATGCGGATTTAGTGATAGGTAAGCCTTGGGGTGGTGGTGGTGTTAGGATTTCGCGGAGAAGGTTGTGGGAACTGGGAATTGCAATGGTTGCAGTGATTGAAACTTGCATCTGTGCTAATCTATCTATATACAAATGTAAGTAGGTAAGCCTTGGGGTGGTGGTGGTGTTAGGATTTCGCGGAGAAGGTTGTGGGAACTGGGAATTGCAATGGTTGCGGTGATTGAAACTTGCATCTGTGCTAATCTATCTATATACAAATGTAAGTGTAAATATATTTATATATATAGTAGCAATATACATGTATATATAAGTAATTTGATGTTGAATCTGTGAGAACAATTTGAGAGATGGAAAATGCATTTGAGAGAGAGGAGAAAGATTCAATGCATTTTAGAGGAAAAAAATAAAGAAGAGTTTACGAGGTTGGGTGGTTGCAGTTTAGAGGGGAAGAGTAATGGAGAGGGAAGAGGCAGTGGGGCCAGAGGGGGTATTGGGTGTTTGATTGTGGTGTGAAGTTATGAGATGGGTCTGTTTGGTTACAATGATATCAAGGGCACTTTTGGCATTTAAACAACAAAATTACTTTCGTCATTGTATTTTGTTCGTATATTTAATGGAGACAATATGGGGGTTGCATATTGCATATTGACCAAAACCTTTCATTGGATTCAAAAAGTGTCTCACATTACATTTACACTTTTTTCGTCATCTCATTCAAGACAAAAAGACTTCCTTCTAAAAATTATTTTGATTATGAAGGTTAGAGATATTGGTATGACTTTTAGATAAAAAATTATTGTATTAGAAAATAAAAACTGGTATTAAAAAATAAAAAAACTGTACAAAAATTTATGTAGGGCCCCAATTAGATTTTTCGCCTTGGGGGTCTCAAATAAGTTTGAGTCGCCTTTGCCCTCAGGTATATGTCACACCATGAATATTCCCTTAGATGCAAACTATTTGAGTATTATAAATTAGTTGGTGTGATGTACCTCTGATTTGAGATTGTGTTTTATGTGTTAAGTTCATGTAAATTGGAGCAAATACTATGTACCATGTTCTTGTAGGGAGAAGACTACAGTAGCGGACCTGAAGTCCCAAATTGAAATTGGAATGAAGTTGAGGGAATCCTTGATGAGTGCGTAAAAGAATAGATCACATGGTTGATGAAGGAAAAATTGCTTCTTGAGGTTTGAGAAACGAGCTTGCTAACGTGAATGAGTACTCCTAAGTTCTGCACCTGCAACTCGAGGTACCTGCCTGATTGTGTTGTTGACCAGAGGGCACTCTGTTGCTCAACCAAAATGGTCAACAATGCTCTAATGATCATAACCAAAAACCTCATGTCTTGATCCTTGGATGTGTAGCCTTTATATAGGAATGCCATCCTGCTTCTAAATGTTTCCGTTTCCATTTAGGAATACACTTGCCCAGCAAGTATTCCCTATCCAAGATACTTTTCTAATTAGATTGTGGCGACTCAGAGGTTGCTATCAACCACGAGGACACCACTGTGGTTTTTCTTTCCTTCCCCTTTTTCATAAACTAACTTCAACTTAGTCCACTAATGTGAGAGCATATCACCTCGGCTGGATTACTTTATGCCCACCACTGTGAGCATTGTTCTCGGCTGTGTCCCAGACCTCAAGTCACTTAGCTTATGTGAGTACTTCACTCTAAAAGCTATTATGAATACCTTGAGCGAACCTTGTTTGTGGTCCTTCTAATCTCTGTTAGACTTTTTATCAGCTTCTTGCCTTTGCAAGGGACATTTCTTTAATACATTCAAGTTGACAACAACCTGCCCTCACACCACTTGAGCCCTGGAAGTGCACCCAAACATGTGTTCTTTCCCGAACTGGGCTTTTTCTTCTCACCTATCTCGACTGAGAATACCATTACTTTGGGGCCTTGCCCCAAGACAACAATTTACACAAACAATTGCCTTCCAAATTATTGAGCCTATATGCTCCAACTTCTGTAATCGTCGTTACTCTATTCTCATTGCTCTCGTGCTGCAGCTTTTCTCTTTTTACAATAGATTTCAGTGAACTTGACCTTAGATATGGCAATCTTGGGTATTCTTCTAGTGAGTATTGCTCGGATGAGCTTTGCTCTTCTTGAGCATGGAGACTTATCTTCTCGAGCTTCACCACCTATCCAGTGAGGACCTTGAGGGCACGGTCATGGTGCGGCACTTCTTGCATCTGTGATAGCTACTTTCCATTCTTAGCCCCATTGGCCTTCACTTGTGAATTTGTTCCACGTTGTGACCGATTCTATTGTCCTTCGTGTCCTCTTCGCCTATGCCTTTGTGTTGAGCTTTGGTACATCTTGTCCTCGTTTCTCACAAATGGTGCCAAATTGTGGGTAAAAATTGGACCACATGGTTGATGATGTGAACTAATACTCCTAAGCTCTACATCTGCAAAATTGGGGTGAGCACTTGTTCGATCTTTTCGTCGGCTAGAGGACACTTGGATGCTTAAGTCAACAACTCCTTGAAGAACACCAAAATACTCAAGATTGCTCTGATGCTCTTAACTAGAAACTCATACCTCGACTTGGGGGTGTAGCCTTTATATAGGAGTGTCATTCCACTTTTACAAATTTTCTTTTCCATCTAGGAATACACTTGCCTAGCAAGGACACCTTCTTAAGTAGATTAGGTTCTACTTCTTAAGGTAACATTTCCTTATCCAATTAGTTGGTTCCTTCTCACACTAAGATTACACATCTAGGTATCATTTTTTGACTAGGCTTTGACCACTGCCCTGACCTGTGTGGTTCGTGTTTCGCCACGTGGTATCTCTATCAGAGGTCATGGTGCATCATCCAACCTTGAACCCACTTGGTCCTGGTCAAAAAATCCATCCCCACATTTTATAGAAGAACGGCTTTCTCAAAATTTTGCTTTAACTGGCCTAGTTGTTAAATTTTTATTTAATTAAGGCAAGAGGGTTGAAACATCCCACATTTTATAGAAGAAAGGCTTTCTCAAAATTTTGCTTTAACTGGCCTAGTAGTTAAATTTTTATTTAATCAAGGCAAGTGGGTTGAAACATTACAATTTTTACACTTTGTATGATTTCATTCATTTTAAAATCATTTTCCGACTTTCTTGGTGTGTTGTTTTGGTTAGCATGGACATGTTTTGGCCAATGATCAAATTTCGTTTTTGGTGTGTTGTTTTGGTTAGCATGGACTTGTTTTGGAAACAACAGATGAAATGAGAAACGAATTTGGAAACATATGGAAATATTTAGAAACACAAACTAAAACCTGTCGAGGTCTGTGCGTATCTTTACATAAGGGCCACAACTATGCAATCCTGAAGTAAATGCTATCCAAGAATTGTTATACAATCTGGATATATAAGAAGGGGCATAATTCAGGATTGCATAGTTGTAACAAAGAAATATTTTTAAGTGATTAAACATGCTTGTTTATCTTCTCCTCTCTCTCCTTTCCTACTTCCTAATAAATTTAAGAATTTTCTTTGTTTTTAAATGCCTTTCTATTAACAAAATGCGGCAAATAGAGATAATTATTGTTGGATATTCATAGTAGGTGGTGAAAGGACTCATTGTTTCATTGCCTATCAATGGAAACACAGGAATTTCGGTATTGCACTAGTTTTTTGTGTTGGTTTCTTGGAAAAGGAGCCGTTTCAACCACTTGATGGAAAGAACACAAAGTTTTGTTCCGTGCTTGTGTCTGATTTTCAAAATGTTTATGAGAAAATGTCATCAGTTAAGATTTCTCTGGGAGCTGTAACAAAGATTTCAAAAATGCTAGACAGTTATGTGATTTTGCAGCTCCATCGCCTGCACCTCGTTAATGTTTTTCATGGTGGATGGTTTTTGGGTTCGTATTGGGGAGTTCTGTTGAGATTTATTTTGCAAATTGTAAGGCCTATATAAATATATATATTTTGAAGTTTTTGCGTGTTCTTATGGCTTTGCATTTTTGGTTGTGGTATGTGTTTTTGTTCTAGACTCTTGGTATGATATAATGAAGTTTTGTTAAGTGAATCATAAAAGAATATAAATATATTTTTGGTTGGTGGCAGTTACACACTGGGAGATCCAGAGGTCGAAGAATAGAGCAGCAGTACTCAAAACATGTACATTGTGAACTGAAAGAGGTTGAAGTACACGGTTTCTTGGGGAGATCGAATGAGATGGAGCTTGCTATTTATTTGCTTAAGAATGCCGTCTCACTCGAGCGAATGATTCTGAGCACCCAAAAGAGATTGTACCATGGAGGTGGAAAGTGGACGAGCTCCCGGTGCCCATGGTTTGAATGGCAGAAAAAGAAGGCCTGTGCCTATGATTTGCTCCAAAAAGAAAAAGTCAATTCACATACAGAACTACTTTTCTTATGACATATTTATGCTACAAAAACTATTTAGCTAGAATCCATGTTTTGTAAAACATAATTTATAGTTTTTCTTTAAAATTTTAGTTTGTAACTATTTATTAGTGTTGACATGAATATGTGGATGTAATTTATTGGTTAAAATGTTTTTACTAATATTGTCATTTCACAGTTAGGGATGCACGTTGAGCAGACTCAACTCAAGTCTAGTTTGATTAATTTTATTTCCACTTTTAAGGGGGAGAAAAAAAATTTATTGGATTTTGAACAACTCTGGGCGGATCCAACCCAGGCAGCATGGTGTACTACTTACATTTCATTCTTTTTATTTTTTTTATTCATTTTTAGTGTTTTCACGAACAACGAAAAATTGCAAAAAATAAAAAAATAAAGTAAAGTTCATTTAATGTGTTTTGTTTCAGTTTTTTAAAATTTGAGTTTTTTGTTTTTCGTGTTTTTTGTTTTTAGTATATATTTTTTAAATTTTAAGCAAAATTTTTTTTTAGATGCATCTTAGTTAGATATATCTAAATAGTAAAATATTTGGGAAAAAATATTTTAAAAAATTAATAAATACATAGAAATATGAAAAATGTATTGAATTTTTGTATTTGTATTTTTTGGTATTTAGTGCATTTTTAATTTTTTTTTTTTTATAAATATTATACTTTTTAAGTGTGTTAATATTAGGTGTGTCTAAAAATTAAAAAAAAAATTTAAAATATTAAAAAAATTAATTGAAAACATTCAAATAAGAAAAATAAAAAAGGTTGAATTTTTTGAAAATTATTTTTTGAAAATCAGAACCGAACAAGTTTATTGTTTTCATATTTGTGCAAAAAAATTTGTTGAGAATAATTTTTTGGTATTTTTTAAAAATAAAATGGCCAAACAATAATTTTTTTCAATAGGGCTCTGTTTGTTTTGGCATAAAATATTTTACACAATTTTCATGAACTTTGAAAATAACATTCCTCTGATTTTAGAGTAATAATATTTCAATGATAAGTGATGAAGTTATAAAATGAAATTTAAATTGCTCGAACAAAACATACTAGAAGCAACGAGAACCGCCAAGCCTCAACATCCTACAAATACTCCAATCTAAATGGATACAGCTAAAGCAAAGTATTCACTCCATACCCCCCTTAAGTTGATATAGCTCATTTTTTCTCAAAAATTTCAAACCAAATACTTCAAAAGTTATTGTTCTTGGCCATAATGCCTTACCTAGCATTTCATGTTTTACTAAATAATGGAAAGCTAAGCAAAGAAAAACCTCGTCAAAACTTTCTATCTTTGTTATTTCATCATGCCTACTAGTTACATTCACTACTTGTCTAACGTTTTTCTAAAATTGTTGTGATATTTGACTCATCATTAGTGTCACAACTTCACTTGTGATGTTGTCTTGAGTGGCATGAAGTAACAATTGAGGATTCATAATTGTTTTTAACCTATTTGTATTTGTATTTTGATATACGTCTTTAATGTCATCATTCAAATGTATTCTTTCATACTCCAGTCTAGAGTCCAAATCTATATGAACAATTGATTTTGCAAAATTCCGTCTTTGCTTGATCCTTGCCAAACACTATAGCCATCTCACCGTACATCTTAATTTTCTTGTTAGGATACTTCGTATGAGATGGACGTGTAAGTTTTCAAATAATAGGAGTTATATAAAAAGGAAAAAAAAAAATATAGATTCAAATAATAGTGATCTAAGAATCACACTGAACATATTCTAAGTAGGTTTTTGGGCTCGCTATTACCATCATCATGTTGTTATCCCATCCAAATCCGCTTCTACCTCGAAGTTGATCTATAACAATTCATGTACTTTTACTGTTCTAAGATGATGTTGGACGTGATCTGCTGAGTAGTGCACTTCATATTTCTCTAATATGACATTTGACACTCGAGTGAATGAATTCATCCTAAAAGTGTAATTAAGTCTTTTTTTTTTTTTCATTTTTCACCTCATCTGCAAGAACTTCGAACAACATTCACTCCACCCATTGATTTTGTCCACCTAAATTGTTTGCTCTTGCCTTCAACTTTTTTTCTTCTCATTTTTGCCAATGTACCACCTTGCATGATTAAATTCCAAGCATCAAGAAAAAGTAACCCAAGACTCCAATGTTAACAGAAATACACTGACATCATCCAAAACTAGTAAAGTAGTAATGTATATAGTCAAAGAAATGTGTTGTAGCTCCAAACATGACATGTTATTCTCCTTGCTTTGATACATTCATTTAACAAAACAGAGCATGCTATCTTCAAAATAGAGAAAAACTAATTGCAACCACCACAATTGTTACTAACATTACTAATGCTAATAACACTAATGCTGCAATCCGTCATAAGAAACAAAATGGTCTAGAAAGCACCACTACATGCTGCATTCACTTGCAAAAAACCTGAGTATAAAGTCCATTAGCTAATCCAAAAGAGTTTCATCCAACAATCCAAACAGTTTCATCCAAAAGAGTTCTATCCAAGTGCAAAGTTGAGTGCGCCAAAAGCATCCACCAAATCAATCGTAGTTGTCGTCAAGTACTCATGCCCTAGGGCAGCTTCTGCTGTAGTCCTCCTCTCTGGGTCCAAGGATAGAAGTCCCTGAAACACTTTAAATTTAATTGCATTATGAAACCATAAATATCAAATAGAATATTTGTATCCATTTATTACTTTTAATGTAATTAATTTTTAAAAACTAATTCAATTAAATTTGTATAAACTAATAAACTCAGTTCTCCAACGTACCGAAAGTAGATCAAGTCCAGCAGGTTCAAGGTCTTTCAAAACAGCACCAAGATCCTGCAGAGGAAGCAACATGTTTCATAAAATGTCCAGGTGCATGAATACATCGATATAAAATTAATTCAACCAAATTCTAAAAATAATTTACCATAGGAGGTGACTGGATCATGTCATGAGGAAAACCAGGTAGGGAAGTTACTCCTGGCCAGCTATCCACATTGGGAGTGCCCAACAAACTTAATTGCCAAAACACGTAGAAAACAAATCAGTCCCAAACAATACACACAAAGCCAATTGAAAAGGTAATTGTAAGCTACATAATCACATTAATGGAAGTTATAAACCTGAAAATTTCTCGCAGAACATCAATTTCAGACAGGCCATTGAACAAAGGCTCCTTCATTACCATCTCAGCAAATATACATCCCACAGACCACATATCAACAGCAGCAGAGTAATGCTCGGAACTCATTAAAATTTCTGGTGCTCGGTAATTAAGGGTTGCCAGCTAGAAGGACAAAAATCAGAATTATGATACAACTTGCAACAGTTTATTCATGGAAGAGGTGTACTTTGCCCATGTAAACAGCACTTAAATACAATTTGAGTACAAGTTTACACCTTAGGAGTAAGCATCAGGTCAGGGGAAACAAATCCCCTAGCACGTCCAAAATCCACAATCTTCAGCGAATTTGAACGTGCAGAAGATTGGTCCAACACTTGCAACAGTTTATTCATGGAAGAGGTGTACTTTGCCCATGTAAACAGCACTTAAATACAATTTGAGTACAAGTTTACACCTTAGGAGTAAGCATCAGGTCAGGGGAAACAAATCCCCTAGCACGTCCAAAATCCGCAATCTTCAGCGTATTTGAACGTGTATCAATTAGGAGATTATCGGGCTTTAGAGCGCGGTGCAGAACTCCGTTGGAGTGGCAGTAAGCTATGCCACAAAGAATCTGCTTCAGAAATTTCTGCAAACAAAAGTTTCAATTTAGTGGTTACATGCATGTTAAGGAAACAAAAATAAAAAAGAGCGACAAGAATATAAATCACTTAGGACATGGTATTGCAGCAGAACTCTATAAATCGATGAACTAAACTTTCAACAAGATAATTTCTTGTTTCATTTACTCAATTTTCAAATAACCAAATACTAGGACAAAATGTTGAGAATTTTACAAATTAGAACAGACAAGTGGAAAAATCTTAAAACTTATTCAAATGCAACCTTTTATAAGGATAATTTTCCCCCAGATTGCAGCATCATTTTGACATGAGAAACGTGGCCTCATTTTTTACACAATTTTTCCTCAGATTGCACCATAATTTTTCACAGCAATCATATAAGTGAACACTATAGAAATATGTCAGCAAGACTACAAATTTATAAAAAATAGCATCTTTCTCACTTTGATAACAGCTGGATATTTTTCATCATGCCAAGACATGTGCACCCTCAAATCCATAGCAACGTGCTCCAAAACCATATAAAAAAACCCCTTTTCGACGAAAACACGCTCCAACCTATCACCCAAAACAGCAAAGGTTGTTAAGCAGTGCATACTAATATGATTACTATTAAGGGGTTATGTCATAGAGTGTTAAAAAAATGTCATGCTTACCTCACGATATTTTGGTGATGTAAATCAAACAGCAATGAAGCTTCACGGATAGCACTGCGAGGTATCTCATCATCAGGCAAAAAGATCTTCTTCAATGCCATTTTATTGTTGGTCAACCTGTCAATGGCCATCAAAACAATGGCTTGACTTCCCGGCAGAGATTCGTCAAAAATGTCATACTGCCAAGTTCAACAACCAACTCAAGAATAAGTCCAACAGAAATTCATAGAATGTCAAACAACTAGAACAAAATGACTATACGCACCCTATCCATCTTCAGAAACACAAGAAAAATCTAACAACTAGAAAGGAAAAGCAATCAGAAAAGATGAAAATATTTGAAAGAAAGAAAACATTCATGTCTACAAAATAGTCAAAAACAAAATTTACTTTGTTCATGATAATTCACAAATTATCCAACTGATGATAGGGAAGGGGGGGAGGGGTGATAAAATGAGTGTTCGAAGAGCAATGCAATATATCATAATAAGTCAATTAAGAAGAATTACAAAAGAAAGAACAAGCAAAATACAATCACAGGCTCAACATCACCTAGAAAAGCCCACAGTTGAAATGCATATATTTGATATTAAGTTTCTTAGGGCACTCTTTGGTATTTGAGTCAGCCAAAGTAACATTTAATACATGTTTAGCCTGAATGATACAAATTTTTAGAGAGCAAGAGAAACAAAATATGAAAACTTATGGAGAAGGGGCGCAGGGTGACTGGCTTTGCCTCTTTTGTGACCCAACATAAAATTAAGAATCCTTACTAAGGATCAATGATTAAAACAAGAAAGCCTTAGGCAAGGCATTCTAGATTCAAACCTTGGTGAGGCAAATCATGAACCTCAAGGTCTTGAAGCATAAGCTTTACAGTTTTTGCAATTTTATATTTACAAAACATGTAATATATATTTAAAATTAGTATAAATAAGTCCAAGAAAAAAGGTGCCTAACAGTAGATAAATTGACTAAAATAAATTTCGAGGGCAACCCAAGTCCATTAATATGGTTCCAAGGTTTTAAAAACCAGACTGGACCGGCCGGTTGAACCGGTGACCAGACCTAGTTCCGATCCGGATGACCCTCCAATAAATGTTTCTATGAAGCCCTAACACTCTAAAACATGTGCCGTAGGACACGAGAACACGACAAGGACACGTTAATTAGCTTTTTAAAGAGACACACCAACTAGTTTTTTAATTAATAGATTATTGATAAAAAATAACTAAATGAACGACAAGCTAAGAAGCATGGACACAGACACGCTGACACAATAATTATCAAAAAACGCATGACATAACACGTAGAGAACACACAAAATATATAGTTTTATGTATTTATTATATGTCATATATATATATGATATTGAAACACAATAAAAAATGCAACTTAATACTAATTTTTGTAGATGTACATTATTTTTGTTTTATCTTTTGTACCCTAGATAATTTTGTGTATGTAACTCATGGACGTGTGTATCCCCCAAGTGTCTGAAGAGTGTCCAATTCTAAAAAAAAAAATTAAAAAATAATAGGACATATTTGAACGAGTGTCCGACACGTGTCGGGAAGTGTTTGAAAAGTGTCGGTGTCTAGCGCGGACATGTCACCTTAGAAGTGTCCGTGTTTTATAGATGACAAGAGTTAACTTAAGAGTGGTCATTCCTTTTTTTTTTTTAAAAAAAATTTATTCTTAGTTTTTATTAATTTTGATTGTTTATAAATGTAATATTAATCCACTAACAAATAAAAATATAATATATATATATATATATATTTTGTTGAGTCTTTAAGTTGAGTGCCACTTCGGGAGCGTCTGGTTCTAGGCAGACGCAGGGTTTTCAGCCAGCTCAGTCTGTGCAGGCCTCGAGGGCCAATATCTGTTGAAAAAGGGAAAATGAAAAGTAACTTGGACTCATAAGTCGTATGACATAAATATGTGATTTATGTGATTGTATCAGTGTTGGCCATCTATCAATTGCTAATCTTTTAGTCATTGTTCATGGTTGGTTTAGTGTATTTCTACTGGGCTGTGGCTCACCCTATATGGGAATATCATTTTCAGGTGCAGGTAGCATGCCACCCCCAAGGACATAGCTGGGAGGCTAGAGGCGGACATACTTTTGTCGCTTAACTTTTGATGTCTTACATGTAACTTCAAGCCAAGGGCTTAATGTGTAAATGAGTTAGTACTCTAATGTTGTAACCAAGTGTTAACTTGGAAAGCTGTAAGCCCGTAGGGCATTTTGTTTTGATGATTAACATGTAATACTTATGTAATGGAACTCTAATGTATAAAAGAATGTGGTTAGTTTATATGTGAATGCATGTCTTATCTGATGGGTTTAATGTTGTTATTTTGAGGGCGTTACACCTAGTTCCGATCCGGATGACCCTCCAATAAATGTTTCTATGAAGCCCTGACACTCTAAAACATGTGCCGTAGGACACGAGAACACAACAAGGACATGTTAATTAGCTTTTTAAAGAGACACACCAACTAGTTTTTTAATTAATAGATTATTGATAAAAAATAACTAAATGAACGACAAGCTAAGAAGCATGGACACAGACACGCTGACATAATAGTTATCAAAAAACGCATGACATAACACGTGGAGAACACACAAAATATATAGTTTTATGTATTTATTATATGTCATATATATATGATATTGAAACACAATAAAAAATGCAATTTAATACTAATTTTTGTAGATGTACATTATTTTTGTTTTATCTTTGTACCCTAGATAATTTTGTGTATGTAACTCATGGACGTGTGTATTCCCCCAAGTGTCTGAAGAGTGTCCAATTCTAAAAACAAAAATTAAAAAATAATAGGACATATTTGAACGAGTGTCCGACACGTGTCGGGAAGTGTTTGAAAAGTGTCGGTGTCTAGCGCGGACATGCCACCTTAGAAGTGTCCGTGTTTTATAGATGACAAGAGTTAACTTAAGAGTGGTCATTCCTTTTTTTTTTAAAAAAAAAAATTTATTCTTAGTTTTTATTAATTTTGATTGTTTATAAATGTAATATTAATCCACTAACAAATAAAAATATAATATATATATATATATATATATTTTGTTCGAGTCTGTATCTCTTCTTTTTTTTTTTTGAAAATATGTCCATAGTTAGATATGGTTTGATCATCCATATAACATAATTATTGATCTACAAATAATGATCATGCTTTTTTGTTTCCTTGCCTCTCTCTTCTTTTCCACGATCCTATCTTTTTCATAAAATAAAAAAATTGAAAAAAGCTAATCACAGATCTGACCGCATTCATTACTAAAATCTAACCGCATCAATTGTTGGAAACATTTACAGAAAAATAAAACAAAATCAATGACAGAAAAAATTGCAAGAACGTGGATAGGTAGATATATAATCAAATGACCATGTGTGTCGATATAGAGAGAGAGAGCTATATATATATCTATGTTCATAGAAAAGCACGGACACAAAATCAATCACTCAAAAACAGAAACAGAAACTCAAAATCAATCGCTCGAAATTGAAAAGAACGAGAGACATTATACCAATCACCATTCGTCGATATATATGTATGTATGTATGTATATATATATATATATTCACAGACAAGCGCAGAAACAAAATCAATTACACGAAAACAGAAACGCAAAATCAATCGCTTGAAAATTGGGATGAATGAGAGATATTAAACAAAAATATATATATATATATATAGCACTCACAAAAACAGAAAATCAATCGCTTTGAAATTGGAAAGAACGAGAGATATTAGACGAATCACAGAAAACGTAAATGCAAATCTTGAAACCTAGGCAAAAACTAAAAATGCAACATAAGAGAGATGAAAACCTTGATTCATTCATTGGAAACAAAAGTTGATGAAAAATGTGGAGTTACCGAGCCGGATTATGGTGACGAAAGTGAAAGGTATTAGTAGAGAGAAGTGAAGTACTGTTTGTATATATATACAGGGAGGGAAACAATTTTAGGCTGTGTTTTCAGTTTCATCCCAGGTGAGCTTTCACAATTGCGTGACGTGATCCTGTAGTGAATTCTAATTTTAATTTTAATTTATTTTATTTTTGGTCAATGGACTGGGCAGTTGCTTGCTAGGGCCAATAGGGGTGGAAGGGACAAGTAAGTTTTTGGGTGCTTACACTTTTCCGTGGGTTTCCCATTATTTCGGTGAATGACACATGACAGGTGGGCCTTCTGGGCTTCAAATACTTCTAGTTATATATATATATATATATATATTCAAAGCAATGAGATAGATACCATTTAATTTTTTGTTGCTATGTATGGGCTGAGTTGTAGCAATCGGTACAGTTGATTGAGGTTTTCAATTGCAAGGATCGAGCCAATTCAAATTTTAATTTAATATAATGAAGGCCTAGATAATTTTCTTTATGTATAATTATATTGTTTAATTTTTTACGCGAATTAGTTTATCGGTTCGCGAGAATGGTCTTCCATTTCAATTTGAGATTTGAGAGATACGCCTTGTAGATAATTGCTTTTATTTTAAAATATTGAGTTTAATTATTTTGTTAATATTTTGGAGATTAGAATAATTATTTACGCATTTGGGCTCCTAAAACTGTAATATTTATACGTAATGGAGATATTTTTGAGAAGGCATAGCAACCACTATTATGCGACCTTCTCCGCTTCAATTTTACACTTAAATTCACATTTACCATTTATTTTTTTAGATACAAAAATGTGATTTGATGAAAGGACTATCAATGTCCGATCAACTTGATTTTTTTTTTTTTTACAGGCATATTCTACTAAATGTATTCTAAAAATTTAACAATTCACATTATCAAAATTGGCCCACATGGCCTCACAACAATGATTGTTATTCCTCTTACACAACAGTCACCCCTTTTCCTATTGCGATATATTTGGACTCGAAATAGCAATGTGCTATAAACATTAATCGATAATTGAGACGGAATACATGCACTTGGATTTAATCACTTCATATGGGATCGACTTAAGGTCGTGTTTAGTTGATATGTTTGCTAGTATTTTAATATTATTATTTCAAAAATAAATTAATTTTGGTTCTTGCTATAACATTAGAGTAATGATATATACAAACAAATTTTTTATACAAAATTTCTATAAAAACAATTTCACATCTTGTGATTCTTTCATTTACAATCAAAACTCCAACAAGTATCATAATAATTTCAAATCTGCCATTAACATATTATTTTGAACGTGTTTTTAATATAATCATT